GCTTATATATAGTTGCTATGGCCTCCTCTGTCAGAGCGGAAGGAGAGCTCTTGGCCTGTCAGAAAGAACACAGGTGAATCACGGCATAACGGCATAACCCCAAAGATACTTTGGTAGAACAATCGCTCATTCACTGCAAGTTGCACATGTAAAAGCATCCACTAAATGTCAACACAAAATCCAGGAAACCTCCATCAATTTGGCCAAACGAGTTTCTGAAATACCAGCCGCCAGTCAAACACGTTCTTGCCAATTTTCAATATTTTGGTCAGCAGCCCCTCAACCGTCTCCCGAAACGACCTGTGTTCGCTCTCGTTCCCAAAAGACGTGTTCGATCTGGCTCCATGGTCGCTCCCAATAAGGGTCGTTCCTTCCCTGTCCTTCCTTGGCCTTCCTTGGCCTCCTGTTCCTTCCTTCCTTCTTCATCTTCAACCCTCATAGGGCGATAAAAGACACCAGACGGTCCGTCCTCATTCGTTCAACCTCTTCCGTGTTCCTTCCTCGATTCCTTTCGTTTCCGTTCAGCATCTTTCAGCTCCGCCCATCCCAAACAGCTTCGCTTTCACCGCCCGTCGAAGGCTTCATCCGATGCTCTTCCCGATGCTCTTCCCAAACAGCTTCTGATGGATGCACCTTCCTCAGCTTCTTTCCCTCGGCTCGGCTCACTCCTCATTGATTTCTCGGGTTGTCCGCAATTCCTTCCTGACGCACTTCTTTGCTCTCATAGCATCCCCAGCCGTTCTCCGATTTGAAACAAGATTAAAGTCCTAAGCAGCTATATAAGCATGAAGTGTTGTACCACTGCAACATCTAGAATGCACAAAGGGCCGTCAGCTGTGCTGCGGAAGTCAGACCCTGCCCCACGTCGTGCGAATCAGGACGGAACACAACATCTGCTGGGTCTGCTGGGGTCGGTCGCCACGTCTCCGACGGGTGGGACGAGCCGCACTTCAGCCGGCACCGCCTGGAGACCGGAGATGATCTCCCAGGTCAAGCCACCATGCTGAGCAGCTCAGCATGACTTGAAATCGGATTCACAGTCAATTGTACAGTGCACAGTGACAATTGTCGATCTAGTAGAATCTAGTAACTAGTAACCGTTAAGTTTTGTCACTAGTCATTTACAAGCACATCACATTGTTGACCCAAGCGTTTTGCCTTGCACCCAGCAGATTCTGCACTGCATCCAGTGCACTCACTGAACAGCTTACAGGCACAGAACAGTTCTAAGTATAGCCAGCGTCGATGGCTGCCTTCTTGAGGACATGTGACCACCATCGACTGAGGATATCTGGCGTGTCTTCGCTCTCCAAGCTGCTGTGTGTCCTGCACCTTTCTGCATCCTCGATCTCATCCGGGTCAGGACCTGAAGCTTGCCGAACCTCTTCTTCAAAGAAATCGTCCCACTCCAAGGACATGGCTGCAATCCAAGCGATGCTTGATTTTGATGGATTTCTTTCCATCTGAAATCATTGAACCTAGCAACTAGTGACTCAGTGAGTGTATGTAACTGCATCCTTGCTCTGAGCGCCTGAGTCTGCAAGTTCAGAAACCTCACACAAATCTAGCAGGCAGGCAGCCAGCTGCAGAAAAAGGTTCGAAACGCATCAGGTCCTCAGTCATACCTTTCCGAAGCAATTACAATGAACATCGTCAAGCCAAGGCTGAAGAGAAAGACACAAGAAACAAACACAACATGAAACATAAATGAACACAACATGAAACTGACCAAAGAACTGGACAAAATAGAACAAAAGAACAAACACACACACACACATGCAACACGAAATAATGGGTGTGCCAGAATAAAGAGCAAGTGAAACACATAATGAACATAGATATATTAATTCATGCTGAAGCCACCCAAGCTGTGGCGCGTTCAGAATCTCATATTTACATTAAATAATGTCTAATTCCTAGAACCTCTGAGCTTCTGGGGGTGAATACACATCAAACCCAACCATGTCTAATTATATATATACATATTAAGCATATAATACATATATATATATATATACAGAAAATGAACTCACCATCATCACCCTGGTTTTTACCATCACCTTTTCAATGTATGGCCGGCTTCCATGGCACCACGCCTTAGCCGCAGCCTTGGCCTTGATCTTCTGCAACTCCTTCCGTCACACACCCAGCTTTTCAGTAAACCGACAGCTTCGCTTTTCCAACGGAAGAGAGCAAACACATGTTTCACCACCTTTGTACAAAGGTGGCGTAACTGATTACTTTCAACTCATCGTGTCAACCGCCAACCACTGATTTCTTGGAGGCCATTGCAATTAGGTTGGAGGTCATCGCGAGTAGGTTGGAGGCCATGGCTGGAGGCCATCGCTATTCATCGCTTCTAGGGTGGAGGCCACTACAATTAGGTTGGAGGCCGTCGCGGCGGTCCGGAGCCACGTCCCGTCCTGTTGACTCTCTATGCAGTCTCGGTGCCGGATCTCTCCGTCGGTCCGGATCGGGCGTCGACCGAACGGAAGAAAGCGGTGCCGTCGACCGAATGTTGGCAATCGGGGTGCCCAGAACATCCACCTCACTAACACAAAAAGCACCAACAAATCATGCACCTGTGGACAATTATCCAAACTAAGCCACCAAGCTGATGGTTTGTTTTGTTGACACCTATCCGCAACTCAGCTTGTTTTATATCATCCTCCACAGCCAGTCCCATCCCCGTTCCTCGGTTCCCCCCGATCCCCCGCGCACCGCATCCGTGAGCTCAGATATGCTGCAGGAGGCCAGGTGATCCTGTTTTGGGGCCAGCTGACCGGCGGTGGGGAAGTGTCCTGGGAAGCCTGTGGTGCCAGAGAAACCCAGAAAAGCCAACGGCAAAGCAATCCCGGCAACATCACCACTATAATACCATCTGGTACCTGCAAAAACGCATCCAGAAGCAAGGATTGGGGCCATTGGATGGAATCTCTTGATCTTTTCCGTTTTTGCAACATGGACTCACCAAATCTCAGAATGTCATATATTCGTTCATCTTCAGTGTTTCTTCGCGCCTTGGTGTCCTTTCTCATCTTCATGATGCACTTCCCAGGCCTAGCTGTTGAACTCCGGCCGATCAGGACTTAGCACCACTTGACTGAGGTGGGTCACTCACCTGTGGCAGGGTGCTCCAAACAAGCAACTACAACCTCCTGACGCGCAGCAAAGCCGCGAGTCCTGGCTTGCAGCCGATCGAGTGCCGTCGTGACCTCCCGTGAGTACCGAGTACCTCGTTGCCTTGGAACGGTCGAGACTCTTCCGGTCGCCATCCACCGCAGTTCACCGCGGTTCGAACGGTGAGCAGTACATGCCGGACCGTGGTGACCCCCCGGAAGCAGTGGCAAAAGTTTGGTGCCTCTGTGGCACAAGAGTGCGGTTCACAAATGTAGTATACAAATGATATACAATCCCGATTGCCCCTGTATCCGACCTGGTCCTTTGGTCAACCAACGCAGCGAAACACTCCAGTTGTTTCAGGTCTCTCCTTTCGGGTCAGATCGTCTGGGCGCGCCGACGTCAGACGCGCACGCAAATATGGAGGGGACTCGATTGGCCCACCGCCCATGTTGGAAGATGAACGAAGAGGACATTCCGCAAACCACGTGGACCCCCCCAAACCCCTCAAGGTCCATGTGTGTGTGCGCGTTTTCGGCAAGGGCAATCCCTTGGCCCCCCAAAAGGTAGGCCCCAACACCATCCAACACCTAGTTGTGGGCACCTGGTTTAGAGCCACTTGTGGGGTTGTTCATGGGGGCAAGGGATCGCAAACCGACCCTGCCATTGTCCAGGAATCTGCAAAACTGCACCAAGTAGTGATCACGCTCCCAATCAAACAGCAACACCCTAGCTACTGTAGGTTCCTACGTCAACAGATTCTCTTGCAGAATCCTGGAATACACTTTGGACAATGGAGGTTGATAAAGTTGTCAATAGGGTTACGTTCCTAGTGATTTCATCAACCTCCAGGCAGCCTACTCGCTGCAAGGCTACTCCTGAGGCCATGAAAATGGCAGCTACGCAGCTACGCTCATCAAACGGTGCCTCAGCACTCAGGGGGGAGATGAAATAGGAGTGCTTACTTCTTCCTCGAAGCTCATTAGTGCACTTAGGTTGGAGGCCATTGCTATTAGGTTGGAGGCCATCGCTAATTAGTAGGTTGAAGGCCATCGCTAATAGGTTGGAGGCCATCGCTATGCCGCTATGCCTTGAAGCTCATTTCCGCAAGGTTTACGGGCCAATTGGGGCAGTCTTTCGAGGTCCCAAGTGTTTGTCAACAGCAGTATTCACCGAGCACTACCAAACACTACTAAGGGAGTCCCCAATTCTTCCTCGATCAAACTCTGGGAATTAGCAAGGCTAAGTTGTCAGTTGGAATGCAAAAACAGTTGGATAACTCCGCATATCCTCATCACCAATGCACATTCTGGTCAAGTCCAATATGTTCTAATTAATCCGCTTTGCAGAGATGGGTGGCCTGGGTTTGCCCCAGGATGTATGCCTCTCATCATCTCTGATCAGTCCATTTCACTAGCATATATAATATAGAATATATGTTTCCGGATCACGTCAAGAGGAGGTCTCGCGGAAGGGACCAACCTTGAAGGGAGGTCTCGGTGACACGAAAAGGACTGTCCTTTACTTCGGTGCCAAGGACGACGTCTTTGGACTTCATGGGGTCTCAGCCCGGCGCGCAGGGGGCCCTACCACTCAAATGGAACCGACCCCCGCCCTTCCGGCAGATTCCAAGGAACGTCTCATGGCCTGCAAATCACTTGCCTGCTTCTCCTCAAATGGCAACGAAGATGAGACCAATTGCGTAACTAAGGCAGTGAAGCGGTGTTGACTCCACTCAATTTGAGACAGGGGCCCCACGTACGTGAAGCGCTTACTAAGGCAGTGAAGAGCGCCCCGAAAACGGTCCATGGTGTTCAAGCCTGAGGACTGAACAAATGAGGTATATAAAGGAGAACATGGCGGAAAGCCACATCGAGAGTTCAGAAAAAAATGCACACCCGCTCGATGATCTCCTCCAAAAGGACATCGAGGTTTGCTTGTGCCACCAAGGTGTCCGGATGTTCTTCACCCAAGATCTCACGAAAGCCTTCCGCATTCTCAGGACCGGTTAGCGGCAACGAGGAGTAGATGGCAAGGTGGGCGGCAACTTTGGAGCGAGCAAACGAGTGGATTGAGAGCACGACACGGCACTGTTGGGCCCGTTCGTGTGGAGATGGACCCGATGGAACCCCCAGACATCTTGGAGTTTGTGCCATCCACTCTGAACAACGTTGGGTCCTTTTGACCCTGCTTGTCCAATATTTCACCTTTGGTTGGTTGGTTGGTGGCCAACCAACCTGTTGGAAAAGCTCTATGTCACATGCGGTGTTGATGACAGAATGGAGCTTGTTTGAATAAAGAACGATAAAACTAGCAAAGAATAAGAATAAAAGAAGAGGCTTCCAAAGATTTCCATTCTGTTCTCACAGCTTTCCTTCATGCCCTAGCACAAGTTGTTTGTCTGAGCATAGCATTATGGGTCAATCTGTCTCAGTCATTGAACCTGCCATTGCGTACAAAACATGTTGCAGCAACGCTGCAAAACAAAAGACAATCAAATACAAATAAACTAAAAGCTATAACTATTATGTACAATATTTGACAATTGTAATTCATTAATCCCATGGGATTCAAGTATATAAGGTTACTGGACCTGGAAATCGTGGCTCTTCTTTCGTGGCAACCGGCATTCACTGACATCGCTGCGGGGATCTCCAGCAGTCCTTGAGTGGCCTCAACACTCCTCACGTTCGAACCTTGTATGGCTTCAGTGACCTTGGTCCCCATGGCCTCCACTGATGTTTACTCTTGATCAATAAAATTCGATAAAACTCCCATCTGGAGATATAACACATAGTAAAACGCTTATTCTAACAGAGGGGGTTCATTTACCAACAGTCAACCACTTCTCCCAAGCCTCACTCCAATATACTCCAACGATTTAACGATGTCAAATTCCGCCTCCCCCTCCCTTTGCGCTGCATGCCACTCCACGTCCCCCAGACTTCCGCCCGTCCGATGTCCGGTGTCCACAGCCTTCCACGGCCTCACGGAGGATGGGCTCCGCCTCGTCGTAGCGCTGAAGTGCCATTAAGGTCACAGCCAGGTTGTCCTGAGGCATCGCACATACTCGGAGGGCCATTGCTATCTGGGTGGGGCCATTGCTAGGTTGGAGGCCATCACAATTATTAATTACTATATAGAAACAAAGGAACAAAAACAAGGAAGAAAGAGTTTTTTTGCAAGGTTGTCCTGAGGCGTCACACATGTTTGGACGGCATCACCAGGAGATGTCCTGGGCCTCGGAACCCTCCCGTGACCCGGCCGGTGACCATGCATGACTTGACTGTAGCCCATGGGCTTGGGCACTCATGTGCATGAAAACTACTGAATTGCTGTCTCCACATCATACTGAATTCCAAAGAAACCAGCCAATCACCGCAACCATGTTCCACCCAGCCCAGCCGGGCCCCATGCCGGTCAGCGGCATCTGTTCGTCGTCCTCACCCGATCGGGAGCACCTGACCCTCAGCCCGTCCTCGCTACGCAGGTGCTCCGGATCCAAGCGCCCCAGCTGCCGCAGGAAGCCCTGCTGCGCTCGGCGGAAGTAGGGCTCGGCCTCCTCTGCGCGACCTGGAGGAAGCGGCGCAGAACAAAACGACGCGTAGCGCGACCTAGAGTCGTTTTCTGTTGGAGAGAGCTTGGTAGAGAACGAAGCTGTTTGGAATGGGAATGGTGGAACAAGGCAACACGTGGTTCCCAGATGATGTAGGAGGATGAGCTCAGGTACTGAGCAAGACCGCCGGGCACCTAGACAACATTGACATAGCCAAGAAAAATGAATCTGCGACACCCAACCAAGAGTCCTTGCACAGCACCTGCATCATGCTTTACTGGAGTTGAGTCTCCGAGGTATCATCAACTCCGGCTGAGTGGGGGTTGGTTTTTGTTTGGATCAAGTCTAAAGTTAAAGAGTTCAGACCGGCGGTTCCAGGGCCATGAACAAGAAAACTGATCACAATTGCCAGCCATACCCCCTGTACTACTTCTGCAGCGGGACATGCAAAGACAGAATAAAATACATCGCGCTACTCCGATTCCCCTACAAAGTGACAAGGTAATAGTTATAAATGTTAAAAGTACGTAAGTTGATGCTTCCCATCTACACCAGTTCCCTTGGTCACCTGCAAGGCCCAGCCTTCCCGGAAGAGGAGCAATCCCAAGTTATCCGCACTGTACAGCGTGTCCTGTCGCGCATCTGCCCACATGTCCCATCGTCACGTCCAGATGCATGTCCACATGATTGCGTACTTACTTACAGCAAAACGGAAAAAATCGATGACGACTGTTGGATGACGATCCAAGTGTCGATCCACTGCAGCTAACTACAGCAAGTGCCACAATGGAACTCACCATGCAACTTAGACTGAAGAATATGTCACATATATATGTCCATATACCCGCTACTCGCTATATTGCCAACCTTTAAGGGACCCTAACCTCCAAGTCACAAAGAAGCAAGTCACCGTGGTCACCCAACCAGCATGGACCGACCAACCCAACCAGCACACCGCCGCTACGCGTGTCCAAATCATCTTCTCCGAGAGTTTTGCGGCAGCCCTCCAAGGCCTGCAACGGGGACGACGTTGGACGACCCGTCCGTTTCGAGTCTAGCGGAAGACCTCCCAGTGACGCGCCAAGCGGGGATCTGAATGAAAAGGTATTAATAATATACTTGTGGAAGGGGTAGTTTTGGCGAATGGCTCGCGAACTGTTAGAATCACTGAAATACACAACGTCCTTATAGTGTGGATTGAAACAGCGTCCTGGACGCATTCACCAACCGACATCGCATCCTGATGTACATCCTCTTTCGCCTGACATCGACCTGGAATCGGTTCAGTCGGTGGTGCACGCAGGGTGCGGTGCCATGACCCAAAGACCTGACGTTGCTCCGTGAAGGGTGTGCATCCCTCAGTGAGCGCTCCGTGCGCCCCGTATGCCCCATAGGCCCGGTCTGCTACAGGTCCAAACCGTCGACGTGTTGTTCGATGAACTCACATTAGTTCATCCGCACCGCCTCGAAGTACAAAGTTTCGGCTTCATCACTGCGCCCAGTGCTGGCCAACAAGGTGGCCAAGTTGTTGATGCTCCTGGATCCGCACCGGCGGAAGTTCACGTTCTTTCGCGTGGCACCGGCGTGGTATATATATGTGTGTGTGTGTGTGTCAACCCCTGGGCCAAGGGTTCACCACCACCACCTTTCCACCTTCACCACCTTTTCCACCACGACAGGGAGTTTCACACGCAGGGGCGTGCAGCATCTGTGGTCCACTGCACGCAACGAAGCTACGACCACAGATGGGAAGGGATCAAGGACGCTTGATCCTGTACCTGCCCAAACCTTTGACCAAGCTGTTACTCCACTTTTCCACTTTTTGCTTCCATGTTCTTGCATGATACTTCCCCAAAACCCTAATTTCTGCCGCTGAGTTGCACCGCTCGTTCGCCACCGCTGAGCTCTGCAGTCACGCACCAACAACTTGTTCAACATTCAATTGAACTGACTTTCTCGCCATACCGTTCCCTCACCATTTTCGACCTGGGAACTGAGTGTAACTGAATACAATTGTCAGAGTGTGTTTCGCTCAGCCGTCCCACTCGGGTGCTGAGTGTGATCCCCGTCATTGGGGCGCCGTCTCATTGTGAAAGCATTAACCGAACTCATCACCGTTCACAGGAACTCCACTGGAAGTCACCTCCACGTCCACCGAATTAACTGCCACAACGGCCGCCGGGCCTAAACACGGGAACTGACAGTTTTGCAACGCTTGCATTTGTCTGCATGATTTTGCATTTTCCGCATGATCTTGCATATGTACTCAAGCAATCTGACCTGAGTTTTCGACAGTTTAATTCGATTTGCATGAACACCAGACTTCACACTATCCACAAATACACTTTTCCACCTTCAAGCGCTGAAGCTGCTGCCGCCGAGCTAGTGAAGCTCTATGTCCAAAAAGGACACAACCAAGTTGCTTGCAGCCGATTTTTGAAAAAA